TACTCTATTCAAGGTAAATTCAAGATTATTAATTAGATTAGAGATTCCTTTTAATTAGATTTACTACCCACTATAAAAATCCACCTTATATTTTCATTTAGTAAACTCCATAAAGTAATAGACAATCCATTTTCCAAACAAATCCTCAAACCATTACCCCCAATAAATATTACTAATAATATTAAATAAAAAGTGGAGTATATTCTAATTATAAAGAAAGTATGCTGACAGTTTAAGTATAGAGTATTATGATTAAATACTAATAACAATCTCATCTAATATTCCATCTTTGACTTAAAAATTGTCCTGCACTACCTTTGTGACTTCTATCTACAAAATCTCATTTTGCCAGAACCCCTTGTGTATTTATCAGAATAAATTTATCTCTATAAAAATAAAAGGATAATTATCATTTTATAAATAATAATTAATATATAATGAAAAAGATAAAAAGAACTTCTTTAATTCATTATTATAACAAAGAAAATCCTAATTATACAAAAGGCTAAAAGCATCGGATAAAGATGAAATATTAATAAAGACAGTCTTTTCCCTTGCCTGACAAACTTAACCCAAGCCAGAAAGAAGCCCCTACGGGTATTACAATTACAATTAGACAAGATACAATAGCAAAAACTGTATAGTTTTAAAATCGAAATATTAGTTGAGTTTTTAGTCCCAATAGTAAATAATAAGTATATACAGAATAATTATAAGTCGAAAAATAAACAATCCTTAATTACAATATATGCAATAATAAAACCGAGCTAAGCATTTAGTCATATCTAATTCTTATAAATTACTAAAACTTTACTTCTATTTGAGTTATAATAAGCTAGTACTACTGTTCTAATTTGTTTTCCCGCATTACAATCTTTGCTATACACACTTCGCACTTCTCGAGCAAGGGTAAGAAGAAAAGTATTTCTTTTAAACATAACTCTTTAGCTCCTTTTGCATATTAACTATTCAAAAGTTAACTTTACTAAAAGCTAGCAAAAATTGTAATTTATTTTTATTATATTACTATACTCAATAATAGCTAATCAATATTAAAAAACATCTTGCGTGTATTCCTGTTAGACAAGCACTTATATTTATATTTGTTAGTTAGATAAAGCAGATAGCAGATTAACTAAATAATATTCAGGAAATCGATAGTAGATATTATCTCCCTTATTGGAAATATAATTATATATATAGTCAACACAAATCCAATTATTCTTCTAATATATTGTTCTTATTATGATATTATTTTTTTAATGATCTTTATTTAAAGATTCCTATTTATTAATATCAATAAAGCTAATATTTTTATAATAGAATATATCGAATTTGTAATCAGATTGACTTTAACATAAGACTTTTAGGATATCTTCCTCAACTATCTCATTATCATTTTCGAGATTACGAAAATAATATACCACTACAATTAACTTATTAGCAAACTTCTTTTCGTAATTATCAATACAATCAATTAAGGGATTATATTCTTCCTCCGAATTCTGTTCAGAAAATAATGGAACGGATACATTCAATAAGCATATCGAAGATCAACCCCACCCTCAAGTACATTGCCTTTAGTATCTGTAATTGTATTTATTAGATAAGCCAACCGCAACTAGAAATATTAAAAAAAAGCCTTATTTATATACATTTTCGTTATCCAATCTATTTTTCTTATTATCCTCCTCCTCACTAACAGAATTACTACTACTTTTGCTACAACTTGACTCCTCCTTTCCTTAACAGAACACTTGTTTTATATAACAAAAGAAACAAATACTCTCTTCACTACAAACTATAAAGAAATATATCAATAAAGTAAATGTAAAAGAAAAATAAACAATTTATTATTACACATATGTCCTCCCACTATTTCAACTGTACTAATAACAATTTGCTCTTGCTACTACATTTTCTTGATAGTATAAAAGGTATATTGATTATTGATTAAAAAATACGAAAAGGTAAATGATTAGAAAGATTTGAAAAACAAAAGAGAAATTCAGACGATTATATACTTTAAAGGCTTTATACTATTACTAGATTACAGAACAGTTTCCCTCCGTTTCCTATACACCTTCCCGTTACAAAAAAAGCAAAATTTATATACATATCTGTTTACCATGCCATATTATAATATAAATAACAATATCTTATTGGAATCATTAATACATCTATAGATTAGATAATTGTAAAGCTTAAGAGCAAGCTTTTTCGAAAGGGGGAGTAATATTACAGATTGTATCCAATTGTAACTATAATTACTTATATATATATTTGTATATATGTACAATTATATATATATAGTTAATATATAGGAGCACTCTATAAGCGCTTTGCTTCCGATTTTGTAGTTATAGATTCTAAGGATAAATTGTACCCTGCTCTTGCAGTTCTTCTAAGGCAAAGTGTCACAAGAACTGGAAGTTCTACCTTACTCTCACATATATAGCAGGACAGGACAGGACAGAAAGGGCTTAGTGTCACCCCGTGACAGCAATAGTGTTTCATATAATACACAAACTTATCAATTGGATCCAGCATTAATTGATCTTTAGATTGTATATAATTTGATTCTATTTTATAGCGTTGTTGTTATTTTATATTAATATAATGTGGGTAATTGAGGTAAAAGTGGTGCACATGCTGATATGGTGCACATGCTGATAAACCACGTTATAAAAAATTTCAAGAAAAAGCTTTTATAATCTAAAATATTATTAAATTAATTTTTAAAAAAGAAAATCTAAATAAAAATCATTTTAATATCAATAAATCCTGAAAATTCAAATATTTAAATTTTTTATTAAATCAAAAATCAATTGATATAACTTTTTTTAGTATTAAAATGAAATATATATAATTAAAGATTATAAAAATCGAATTTTTAATAATAATCAATAAAAGCTTATATTATAATTAATATTATATCAAATTAAATTCTTAATATTTAATTTTAAATCTTTAATTAAATATTATAAAAGAGTTGCAGGTAATAGGGTTATAGAATAGTCTTTCATAAATATTATAGATAAGTTACTTGTCAAGGTACGGGTAAAGACTTATATTGTACCATAAGGGTAGAAGAGCTATGGAAGAGTGAAGCCCTACTTATAGGAAGTAGGGCGCGCTAGTATGCTGTGCCTGAGGCACGAAGGCAACTACAGATCATGTAGTTGGCGCCGTGACATTACTAAAACGTAATGCCTCTAATGGAGGAGAGAAAAGAGAGGCTCTATATAGTGCTTTACGAAATGTATAAGAAGATGAATGGGAATTGACTGCTTTTTCTAAACTATATAAAGAGGTTACATAATCCGTACTAAGTTTCGCTTACAATATAATATTAATAAATTATAAATTTTAATATATTTAACGTGTTTTATCAGTGAGTGGTTCATATCAGTGAATGGGTCATTTCGAAAATCACCTAAATCAAGCTTCTTAAAATATTAATATTTTAATAACCAATTATTATTTTCTTGAATAAAAGATCTTAAAAAATAATTAAAATCTAGATTTTCTATTGATCTAATTTTTATAAAATAGTTTTATCATTTTCTAAAAAAAAAAGGAAATTGTCACGATTTTCGTTACAAAAAAACTATTTTTATAATAACAACTTTATAAATTCGAATTTCCTAAAAACTAATTAGATTTTTGAGATTCTTATATATTCAAGTATTTTGTATCAAATTTTCAGAAAATTATATCCATAAATAAAGAAAGTGCACGGTTACGCACAGACGAATTTTGTATGTAAAATAAGTAACCCATTTACTGATATGAACCACTCACTGATAAAACACGTTATATATATTTAAAGATTATCATTATTATATAATTCAAAAATAAAATTAAATATTATAAATTCATTATTTTATTAATAATTAATTCTTATAAATTTTCTTCTTAAAAACTATCAATATTTAACATTAATATAATATCAGAATTTTAAAAAAAAAAGTTTAATTTTTTCAATTACTTTATATTATTATATAAAAAATTTCATAATTTCCTTTAATAAAACTTATATTTTTAATTTTATTATAAGATATATTAATAAGTAAATAGTTTCTTATATAAAAATTCAATATCTTATTTATTAATATTATTATTATAAACTTTTAGAATTTCAGATTTTTATTTCAAAACGTTATATTAATTTACTCAAATTATCTTAATTCTGAATTTCAAATAATTTAATTGCTTTTTTAATTTTTAATTCAATTTAATATAATATTTTATATGAATAATAAGAGTGTGCATATAGTAGGGCCGTGCACATAGTAGGGATATCGGTTACAACCCTAGAAAGCGGTGAAGATCACTCGCTCTGAAATCTTTTATACTCGATGATTTCTATACCTGACCTCACTACACAGTAGAGATTTTTTTGGTTTCTTCCACGATCGGTACGACCGAACTCGGTGTGAATTCAGACTCTAATTTCTCTCGTGAGAGATGGGAAGATGCGTTTGCCATGTGGAAGCCAACACATCCATTTAGCCTCGTAGGCTCATGAATGATAGTTTCATTCTATGAAGGCTCATAGCTGCTAAAGATCTCCAAGTGAAGATCATTCTTCCCCTCTATGTGGTAGGGTTGCTTCGCGTCTACCATATTTGGCAAGCTTTTACTAAACAGGCACCTTCTCCAGCGAATCCTTGCAATGATCTGGTTCCTGATTTGCATTCTGTCAATGTGGCGCAACCTTTAAACGGTTGACACCAATCACGTTGCGTATAAAAACAACCACGCTGCAGAGTATCTGCAGGATATATATTGATTCTTGCGCAACTGCGCCCCGGAACCGATAGATGGAAGTTTGCTATTTCGAAAATTGGTTCTAGAAAGAAGCTAGAACTGGATACAAGTACAAGTGAAGCATTCCCGAGTAATCTATGTTTATTCCTTTATTCCTGATTTTCGACCATGCAATTCCTTTCAGTCCTTCGTTAACACAATTTGAATGTCATCATCAAATCGCCAAAATGGTGTACCAAATTAGACCCTTGCATATATCAAGTGAGGCGCCAGAAGTTGTTCCCGAGGAACAATCTCCATACCTATTAACCTCGCCCGATAAATATTTCGTTCGTTCATACTCCGTGAGAAGAGCATCAAATCATCTAATATCACCACTAAGTAAACAATGTGATAATATTCCACTCCAAGAAGTCTCATTTCCACCACCAAAAAGAGCATACGATCTTGCGCGTTATTTACCTCCACCAAAACAAAAGAAAAAATTCGGGCTGGTACCAATTGTTTTCATAGCTGTGGTGTCTTTCCTAATCGGAGGAGGTATTGGCGGTGGTATTGGAGGTTGGGTTGGGAAGCATAACAATCCCTCGAGGTATTTCTGCATGCGACAATAAAAAGGGACAAGACTGATTATAAGTGTTTCCAGCAAGACCTCCAAGTGCGAATCAACGGGAACACTTTCAGGATGTGCCCCAACAGTCACGGAATTTGTAGACTCGGCTGGATGCCCCAACGTCAACAATACTACCTATACAACACCTGTACCTAGTATAGAGTTTCGTATAGCTTGTGCTATCGATTTAACTTCTTCACCAGGAGAAGATATCGAATTAAACAACGTCACAACCCCGACTCTGAATAATTGTTTGCAATCGTGCGCACAATATAATAATGGACAATGCTTGGCAGCTACTTGGATACAATTTTCTCCAAATCACCCAGAGATGAACTCGAAGTGTTTCTTCAAAGCGAATTCAGGAGTTCGTATACCCATGAACTCTACGGGCACGATAGCCACGAGTGGGTTCCGGATTTCCTGACACGAGCTCGATACAGAATACCAATTCTTGAAATGCCAAATATATTTTAACTTGATGCCTCGAGGTACTGGAACAGCGTGGTTCGCTCACTTGATATCAATGGTTTTTGCATGGTCATGGCGTTTCAAGATGGTGCATTATTCTTACGTTCTTTAGAACCGGATTGCAGCAGAATGATTGGAGTATTTGAAAATTTGTACATTCGCTCACGAGATATGAAAAAGATGATGGAGAATTTGCTTTGCTTGCAGGCAGCTTAATTTTTAATTACTGTTTTTACTGTTCTTTTGTTATAATCACGTTGGAGCCAACATTGGCAGCTTGCGGGCGAGGTGTAATTACAAGTTCACCAGTTTCTTCTTAAATCAAGGAGTTCGTGGATATGGGATCAGATGCGAGGAGATGTTGCAAATCTAAATACAAAGTGGTAACCACCGATCGCGTTAGCAATGAATCGTTTCAAAGGAAGTTCTGTCACATTAGAATTGCTCGCAGCGCCGCTGTTCTGCTTGTGAGGAGTTGGCTATCATGCCTGTTTATTTCTTCCTCAAAGCTAAGTGTCTGAAGAATTGTCAAAGTCAATTCATCCAAGGACATGACTTGGCTTACCTCGAAAGGCACTGGCGCAATGCAAAAGACAAACCAGAAGGCTATTTCTTGAGTATTCTTTGTACTTAAAGGTTGCTTTGATTTGATTTTTGCAGAGGAAATCCTCATATAAACGGACATAGCTTGCATTCTAACATACAATTAGATGGGGCTCGGTAGTGGTGATGAGGTCAAATGGGCTTAGCGTAGTTATTTACCCCCTCTTTCCCAAAATAGTTAGACCCAGGTCTGATCGCGTCGCGTGGTACTTCACATTTATTCTTCCTCTTTACAACATATCAGAAAGTCGCAACCCACGATTACCCATTCCTAGTTATATCTCATGGCTGGTAGTGATTCTCACACTTCTATACACAATTGCCTTTATTTACCTACCGACATATCCTAATTGAGTTATGTTTGTGCAATAGATGTTGAGCCTTCGAGGGATCTGAGTAAATCACGTCAATTATTCAAGATCTCTGAAGACATTCCAATTCATTGCTGTCGATAGTTTGGGCGTATCAATCGAGAGTTTTTTGTTCACAGAATATGCAAGTTTGTTATTGTTTCGGTTGTTCTATCCACCATTCTTACTACGCGCGTTGAGCTTTACTCTTTCCTTTCACTCCGTTCTGTTCATTTTTTGCTAATAGTGCTCAATCTCGTGCGTGCTCGCATTACAAGAAGATCTCTCATATGGTCATACTAGATTACTTCCATTTTCATATGCACCTCAAGCCAAGACTTGGACATCTTACCAACTCATCTCTACCACCTACCTTTCTACTTGTGCCTCTCTCGACCGAACAACCTCTAATCTGAGCTCTCGGAATCTTGATAAAGGATATTCGCCGGCAGCTAAGAAATTACTGTTACCTGCAACTTCTGCGATATCATTATAATGACGGTTAATCAACTTACATGCCCCATAAGACTGAAGCAATGTCACTGGGTCTGTACAGTCTATACTTGGGGAAGCAGTCGTTTTGACATGGATTATTATGAAATGAAGACATACGAAACTCTGTCGGCGGATGATAGTCATAGTCGGCTGGTCCTGTTAGCATTTTTAAAATGATCCTCCATGTTTCCATGAGAAGCCTTGCTAAGGAAGATGGAATCTACACTGCGTCATCAGAAATCATTATCTTCTTCTCTTCGTCCGAAATTGATCTCAAGTCTCATGGCTACCGAAAAGCTTTGAGCCCGACGATTATCCTACTCTAGTATCAATATTGTTTTTCAAGTACTCCATACAAGTGTGACTAGTAGATCTGTACTTGCGGATTATGACAACTCACCGGCTCATATCATCCATTGTATAATATCTCGCGAACGCCGACTTTAGCCATTGTAGTTCATCCTCGGCCGATACAGATTTCCAGAGCTGTTCGCAGCTACCGAACCTTCTCAATGCTTTCAATGCCATACGAATCAAAGTGTCAACATTTAAACGACTACTCTCAGTGAGTATGAATCTTGACATCGTTGTTGTTTTACGACATCGACTGCTTTATCAATCCGTCTATAGTTTGCATGCCAATTTTATGGGTGTGGTATCGGTAATATATCTACCATGCTTATATTGGGCATGATTACTGATAAACACGATTTGTACAGGCGTACCGTTCCGTCGCGAAGTAAGGTAAGCGCTTGCCAAACATATTCCTTATTCTTATAAGCCTCCTGGATATCTTCAACAAGGCTCATTATCTCTCCAATCAGTATCAAAGATTGACATCGGAATCGGTAGCTTGACAACGTGTGTAACTTTTAACCGCTTCCATTGCCTGCGAGTGGATATTATGAGGTATCTTTTATCTCCTTATGGTATTCTTCGCAATTGTCTCAAGACATTAAAATCACAATAATTCAGTACTATGCATAATTTGCAATTTCCTTCTTTTACATGTTATTTAAATCGGCTTGGGTGCTGCTCGCAAAATTGATGTTTTATACCACTGATATTGGATTTGCCTGTCCGCCCACCAACCCCGACAGACTCTGTGCCGTTCTTACTCATGTAAATTTACCTCGTCCTCTTATAGCTCGGCTTTAATCGAAAAAATAGCTTCCCGGAGCCCGGCTCATTTCTCCTGAAGCTAACGGGCGCTCCGCGAAGTCCCTCTCCTTGCTCTTTACATGGGGGAGAAGGAAGCTGAGGGATGGCTTCAGGGTTGCAATCCAACACCACGTGTTTAATGTGCTTATTTCATATGCTTTTTTCAGGGCACATTCTATCACTAGAATCTTCTATATTCCTAGAATTGATCTCCCCGAGAATTTCTACGACAAAAGTATCTAAGAGGTTGTTAAGATCCAATCTTCTTGTTATTTCCCAACGAGTCGCACAAATTACGCAGTACAATATATGGATATTAACATATACTTCACGCTTGTACACGAATTCAAATTAATTATTGCATCATTCTTCGAATTTAAAAGGCGTCACCGAAATTCGTCTGATGTCAATTAATCTTCCAGACTTTCGTTCAGCGTATGTTTCCTTTTAAGGTACCATTAGAATTCCTTTCCAATTGCCCCTGCATCAATTACTTATTCTTCTACTAGTACCACAGGATTATACGATCTAGATGGTTGAAAAAATTCCATCATCCCATCTAGAAAGCGCCATGCATAGAATGGTTTGTTTCATCGCGAACGAAATCCTTTGCCAATAACCAATTAATGGCATCTGCTTAATACTTCTTAGTCATTCGTACTATGTTATCCAGTGGCACAAGAGACACTTTTGTTTGCCAAGAAGCTTTTAGCCGGATCATAATGTGATTGGAGTTCCTGAATTACTAAATTGGGCTGCACAACCATTGGAATATGGAAAATATCCCCTTGAAACATTTATACTCCAAAATCCTATCAGATCTCTATTTGTTCCTCAATTTTAAAGTTCTTGACTCGGCGAATTCAAAGCTTAGACTCGGATCCTTTCGACCCACAGCCAAGGATGTGATATGAGTAGAGCCCTAATGAAGGCGGCTAAACATCAATATCCCCTACGAATGAATGGTTTCCGCGCGTTTGTAAGGAGGTTTTTTTTTTCTTGGGGCTGCCTGCCTAGAGGTTCAATTTAATCAATCTCAAATCAGCCCTGGCCCACTCTCCCCGCGTCCAAAAATGCGGGTGACATAAATTAAGGAGATCGACATGGCCCACAGCGAGTGTCTACATTGCATTTCACATCATATATATTAAGACTACTCTCCTTCGAAGTTTGTACCACATCATCTTTTCTGACGATATAGTCTACTTTCTTTTCTCTAGTCGCTCTCTACTTCTACATTCAATCCTTCCAATTTTTTCGATCTCTACGATCTCGTCAATCCTTACCAGAGTCTGGACACTCTTTGATTTTAGATACATACATTCATACATTCATTTACAAATTTACTTCTTCCTTCCAAACTCGCAAAAATGGTTCTCGCGACTTCTATTCTTCTTCCTCTTTACCTTTACCCTACTCAAGGTGCTTGGACCTGGGCCACCAATGCCATTGCAGCTTACCCCTCTCTTGCATTCACCATCATTGTCAATCCGGAATCTGGACCAGGAGCTCTCAATGACTACCCAGAAGATGAATATATCTCTGGTATCACCAATTTGACAAAGTATGACAATGTCAAACTTTTGGGATATGTGGATACCCAATACATGGCCAAGAGTACTGCTGCCGTTGACCAAGAAGTCGAGACTTGTGAGTAAAACCTTCCTAAAAACAGACGATCTAAGAAAATGTTAATAAAAAATAGACAAACACTGGTCTACCTACACCAAAGGAAACATCGCCGTCGATGGAATTTTCTTCGACGACGCAGTCAACGAATGGACATCCGACTCTTCCAGCTACATGACCACCATCGCAGACAACGCTCACGCTCTAAACCTCACCGTCCACCTCAACCCCGGTACTATCGCTGACTCGGAATTCTTCAACATCGCCGACAAAGTTGTTATGATTGAAGATGACTACTCCGCCTATTCCTCCAAGAAAGGCAATTCGTTGAAAAAAATTGCAAGTACTAAACAAGAGCAAAGTTCGGTCATTATTTACGATTTTAGTGGTTCTCAATCTCAACAGACTAATACCGTTAACTCGATTGTTGCTTCTGGGGTTGCGGAGGTGTATATTACGACGGTGGAATATACAAGTCAGAGTAAGATGTGGACTCAATTCGTAGCTGCGGTCAACAGTGCAGTGGGGAATTAGAGTATTAGTTTGGAAGGTCGGTTATGGGGCTCAGTGGGGCGGTCGGGGACCGAAGAGAGAGGGAGACAACGTCGAGCTGGTGAATTGACGGAAAGTTGTATTTGGATGCTGTGGAAATCCTTCTATTCTTGTTTTTACTTTTTGGTGGGAGTGTAGATTCTTGGAAGCAGGTGTTAGGAAAATCCACATACATGTTTATGTGATGGAAAATGAAAATAGCATGATCAAGTGCGGAATTGGCGACTTCTTTTCCGCGTATGATTGTTTTCACTGAAACTACTTGCAGTTCTTCGATTTCATGAATGTGCCCAAAGTCTTTCCATAAAGGGTTCCCTCTCCAGATTCTAGCTATACTGCAAATCCTCAGTCATATAAAAGTCTTTGATATTGCGAAGTGCAATATCAGTATCTCCACAGACTCCAATAAATGAAATAAGTCAAACATTCCAACAACTCCTCCAAATTAAACCACACCTTTCTATATCCGTTATATCTTTATTGTTTCAATCACTACAACTGATCTTTATTCATTCCTACCACTATCTCCAAGATTGAATCACAAGAAAATAGCAAAACACCAACAGTTTGAAACTCCCACCAGCGACAGAATTTGACAACGAATATCCAACTTTTCAGACGAGAATCTCTAAGTTCCTGTCCTATTACAACTCCTTCAAAATAAATCCATGAGCAAACACACAAAAAGAAAGCACATAAACCAAGTTTAATATCAATATCAATCTCCAAATATCATCTATATATGTACAAAAATCAAATCCACACACTCGATATATCAAGAAGAAGAAAAGCCGGAGCTATATTACTCCCATATAGCACTCATACAAGAAAACATCCGCAAATTTCTGGTTTCAAAGGATAGAATATATACACCGTTCCAAAATCCCATATCACCTTATCAAACCATTCCATCATCATTATCTCCAACCTAATCGCTCCTCAAGATCAAATACCCCCCTCTCTCCTCTGAAAAGGCTTTTATATCCATACTACCGAAAAGTCATCTTGAATTTTGATCCTTCAAGCACATAAAAATTCAACAAAATACAACTTTCAATTTCGGATACCCTGATTCTTCTCTTCTATCAGTATCTAGTCCTACAATAATCCGAATATCTTCATATACATCTCATTTCATATACTCTTTGCGATTCAAAATCTCAATAGTACACAAGATAATCTCCATGCTCCAATCTTGTTGAATCCAACAATATGACATACTTTCCCCAAAGTTCATGACTATCGATAAAAGTCAAATAGTAATCATGTCTCACAAACACACATTTTATTCTAGATGGAAAGTTTTTATATATTATCTATCTAGAGATTTTATATGATTTCAATATGTTTCTCATAACGCCATTACGATAAAGGGCTGAAATAGTAAATTTTGATTTTTCCTTTGCATTAATAATTTAAACTTCGATGCGCTCGGTGCTTGATGAGTTCTTATGTACTAGATAGATATGTATGTGCTAACCGGATGCACGTAGCCTAACGGTTTTGAATAGCGTACAATATACGTTTCTCGTCGGGAATATAAGGGTTAGCGGGAAAGATACTTTTCCCCACGAGGCACTAGTTGACCGACCGTTAGAGTTGGAGTCGGTACTGATTTTAATATTCGTTTTTAGATTATGTGGTGATGGTGAAACATATTGGATTCATCACATGATTTGTCAGATTTGAAACCGTGGACGACCCGTCTGGGGAGATGGTGTGAAACATATTATTCATAGATATGGCGATCGAGATTTGAATGACTAGCTAGCGTGGGAGATGAATTCTAACTTATCTACCTATCTACCTATCTATTTGATGATCAATAACTCGATGGAAATACCAGATTTCCGTACTAGTTATTTGAGTCATATTAACGAACGATGCTTTTCTTATGAACAGTCAGTCATTAATGATTATGATTTTTCCCACCTCACCGCCTCCCCCCAAACAAAAATCTCAAGTAAAACTTGGACCTGCGGATATGGCAGCGTTGAATTGTGTCCAGAGATCACTCTGGCTAATATAATCATTGGTGGTGATGTATAGCGAATTAATACCCATTTTCAAGATTTCCTTCACAAGAGTCGATTGATCGCTTGCCGAGCCGGTAAAATGATGAAACATAACTGAAGATTTGGAACGTTGGTTTAGGGGAACTAATTTTATAATTGCGTTAGTGGATTACTTACCGATCGAGTAACAACTCACCACTTTAAAGTTCGGGAAGGAAAATATCGAAAGTAAAAGAGAATGAAAACTCACTAGATTCAATACTCGGTAATGCTTTCGAAGCATTGTATGTTTCTTCAATCATTAATATATTGTCTGCGAGTGCGAAAAATGAAAGATCGGCAATCACGCCCGGATTGAATGTTACGGTGAGATTGGCTTGATGGGCGGAGGTAGCAATGGTGCTCATGAATTGAGAGGTGCTGGCGTTCCAGTTGGAGACGCAGTCGTCGAAGAAGATGCCGTGCATGTGGATATCTTTTGAGGGGTTGGCTTGCCAGTGGTTGTCTAGTGGACAGAAAAAGATGTTAGTGTGTGTCTAAGTTTGATTCTGTGGATGTGAATGACAGAGGAGATGGAGAAATTGGAAGACTCGAGATTCGAGATTCAAGACTCAAGATCTAGAATTAAGAAAGGGGAAGAGATGAGAAGAGAGGAAAGATGCATACAAGTATCCACCTCGGCAACGATATCCTCAACAGATCGATGCATATACGCCGTATCTACATATCCCAATAACTGTACGTTATCAAATGCATTCAGGGAGGCGATAGCATCGATATAGCTGGGATCGGGGAAAGAATTGTAGGTGCCGGGTCCGGAGGATGGGTTGATGACGAGAGTATAGGTTATGGAGGGGTAGAGGGGGATAGTGGTTAAGAGCCAGTTCCAGGCGAGGGGTAGAGGATAGATGTAAAGGGGGAGGAGGACGGAGATGGGGTGGCGCATATTTGGGGTGGCGAGTGATTTTTAGGAAGTGGTGTTTGCTTTGAGATACTGATAAAACGGAAATTCAAATGTCTGTTTAGATAGATGTCATGTATTGATTTGTGAACTTATATACTCGAAGAAGTAAACCAGAAATCTAAAGTCATGAATATCAATCAAAGACAGTCCAGTCACCTATCTACTAATCTTATTCATCTTAAATATCTACTTACCTGGGTAAGTAAGTAATATTGATTCACTATATATCCGAATCATCATTTTCTAAGTTCTCATTCATTACCCAACGAGACAAATTTAATAGTAGGGCATGGTATGGTATAGGATTGGGAGTTCTATACTCAAATACATCCACATCACAAACCTATACCATAACATATCCCATTCTATCCTATCCCATCCTATCCCATCCCATCCTATCCCATCCCATCCTATCTTATCCCATCCTATCCTATCCCATCCTAACCTATCCCATCCTATCCCATCCCATCCAAACCAAACCACTACTATCAAACCTAATCCATTCACAAATCCCAATACAAATCCCAATACAACTAACTAAGTAATAACTACCCAACCAACCAATCAACTATAATAAACTTTCCAAGTTTAATTCCACAATCAATCCGGAGATGAAAGTACCGGTATATACCTACCTACTGAATGTTCAATATCAATTGATTAATCGAATGATTAATTTATTATATGATACGATTTATCAACATAAGACAGATAGATATCTAGATAGATACCTATTGATAAACAAATCAGTAAAAAGAAGCACTCACATCGATAAACAAACAAACAAATAAATTAATAAATTATCATCAAATATTTAAAAGATATACAAGAATCTATGATTAAAAAGTAAGTAAGTATCTAGGTATCTAATCCAATGCAATCCCATCCAATCCATCCAATCCATTCCATCCCATCAATCAAAAGTCATATATACATACATACTCATACCACCCGATAAAAAATCCAATTCCAAGTCCAAGTCCAATTCCCATTCCCGCTCCCAAACACCTTGCTTGCTAAGGTACTGACTGATAAAGACAATGATGGATATAAATAAACAAAAACAGAAACAAAAACAGAAACAAAAGCAAAAAGAAAAACACAAAGTAAAAATAACAATGACTGTAACAATGACAATGACGAAAAATGAATGACCTGGCCTAGATATCCTATCTTATCCTATCCTATCCTATCCTGTTCCTTCCCTTACTACCATGGTATTTTAGAGGTATATATATCATAATATACCAGAAATCCTACCTTTGCCTAACCGCTGGATATCAATCCCTACCCTCCCCCCCCCTTCCCTCCCATCCCATCCCCGAAACGATAAAAAACAAAAACAAACAAGAGTAAACTATACAAAAGAAAGAGAAATGTATCATCAAAGAATGAAAAACCCATGCCACTAAATCCCCTCACATCCTCTCACAACCTCGACCAAACTTCTCAAAACCCATCCTTCCACTTCCTTTGCATTTCCATCCACATCCACACTTCCCTGCATACCCTTCAACAATTTGCCTATGCAATTCTTGAGATTGTATTCGATCTTCTTGTTTTGCGCGGCTCCTCCTCCCAGATTTCCATTGCGACGAATGGATGTTGAGGCGGAGAGACCGAGGGTGGAAGCTGCTTTGGCGGGGATACCAACGAGAGAAGTGTTATTGTATGTGTAAGATGAGAAGGTAGTATTGTGGAAAGAGGATTTGCGGAGACTGTGGGAAGCGGAGTGAGAATGTTTGATAGTGGTGGTACGGGCGAGAGGAGTACTGGATGGAGGAGTAGAAGAGGAGGGAAGCGATTGTAGGAAGATATAAGCGAGGATATGGGCGTAGAGAGCGGAGCGGAGGAAATCGGAAGAGACGGGGAAGATAGCGTGAAGAGGTTGGAGATTGGCGGCTGCGAGTTGGTAGGCAAAGGTGGGGAGGATGGGGGAGGGGCCTGCGCTGGTGGTGCTGGGTGTATTTGCGGGTGCGAGGGAGGAGAAGGAGAAATCGGGACTGAAGGGTGGAGTGACGGGTGGGGTGGTGGGAATGGAAAAGTTGAAGGATTTGGTCTCGGTTGGCGAGAGACAGATTGTTTGAGGACGATTGCGACGGTTGAGACCTTTTTGATGGGGAGGGATAAGTGTTGTGGTTGATGGTGCTGGTGGTGGTTGTTTTGATCGCTGAAATGATTTGAAAGACGCAGTTGATGTAGCTTTAAGGTGTGAACGAATGGATGATATACATGGAGTATCTGCTAATAACATTTTTGTAGGAAAGTTCGAAGTGCATTCTTCGATTGCGGCTACGATATCAAGTATCGTATCTGGAGAGGCAGGTGTTGGAGAAAGATCTGCTGGTGAACGAGAGATTTTTCGTTGACTAAAGTTAGAAAATTTGTTGGATTCTGGCTCGTCGGGTGAAGTTGGAGGACTGGACATGGCTAGATCATCCATTGGGCATGTCTCGATCGGAGAGCGAGAGGTTAATCTTTGAAGAGCAGATGAATCGGAATGTTTTAAGATTCCGACTGGTGTTGTTCTTTCTGGAATAGTAATGGACAAACTTTGAGTTTTTTTATGATTCACGTGAATAACTTGTGCTTTAGCTGGTGCAAGAGCTGTTGCGCATGCCTAGATAATGTTAGTATTCGTCAAGTTGATTGCAATGAATAACTTACGAAAAAGTCATCAGATTCATCATCTGAACTCTCACACATGCTACTTTCACTATCGTCGAGCCATTCTTCAATATCCAAAGTCGACAGTCTAGGAGCGGTCCGGCATTTGGTTTTGGAACCAGCAAACCACGAGGATTCAGATTGTTCAACTTCTTCAGCATCTTCATTTTCTTCGCCCAAACATTTGAAAGACAACTCTGAATCTGCTCGATGACGTCTTCTTGGGGAAATAGGTGATAATGTTGCACTTTGTGTTTCATGTGTGTCATGATTTGAATCATCCCAACCGCATCCTTTGCTTGAACTCGAATCACTCAATCCTTCATACGCATCGATGATACTAGATGTAGTACATTCGATCTCATCCCACCTAGTACAACTCTCTTGATAAAGAGGACTCCCGATCAACGGCGAACCATCTGTTGAAATAATGGGAGTGTCTCGATATTTCTCTGGTCGGATGGCTAAAAGCGATGTACCGTGTAATCTCCGTTGCGATATATTTTCCAGATCCGATAAGTCTCCCAAACGCTCTAGTTGTCCAAAAGTTGACCTCTTGGATGGTGTTGATACGGAGTGTGAATCTGAATCTTCCGAATCCTCTGAAAGTGGTGGAGTGGCCAGTCTGAGGGGTAACAGTCGTTTCATACCAGACACTGCTCTTTTAGATGTATGTGCAGATGAAGGTCTCAACAAAGCAGAAGTGGCATTTGCTTGCTTAAACATGGTGGTGTGCAAACTCGGGAGAGAAGCTCTCGTAGAAAGTGTTCGTGATTCCGTATATTCATTTTCATGGTGAGCAAAGGGTGGGCTGGAGGGTGCTTGATATGTTTTGCGCAGGACGTGTACCTTGGGCAGAATGGAAGAAGTAGATTTTTGGTAAGTATGGGTTTGTCTTTGACTGATGTTTTGAGTGGTTGATGAACCCATGGTGATGTTTTAAAAGGAGTGACTCTGATTGGTGTATGTATCACTCAATCAATTAAAAAGGTCTAAGGAGTGTGTATTGTATACAACAGTGTAGATTAAAAGATGATGATGAAAAACGATATCATATTATAGTCTGATGGCAATGCGATGAGATGATGGAAGTGTTTATATGATCTTCCTTTCTCCGGGGTAGAAATCATCGAAAAACAAAGCAAGGTAAATTATGTGGAACCTTATGACCTCCCCCTTGGGATGATTTGTACCGGGGATTGAAGATCATGGATCTTTGGATTTCCCTGTCGATGATTTTTTTGACATGCCGTGCATTTTGTATACCCAGGAACCAACAGGAGCCCGAGAATGAGGTAAAGCATGGCAAAAGTAAAAACAGACCACTTTGTTCTTTTTGGTGTTGACCCATGGATGTCGGTACAGACCTAGGTAAGAAATGGTAAATAATAGATGATAATAAATAAAAAATAATAAAAAATAGACGATCAATAATAAACGATAAACGATAAACAATAAACAATAAAAAATAAAAAATGAAAAATAAATAACAAATAATAAATGGCCTTTTTAGTATTTCCTACTAAATTTGTACCTGTCCTGTCCACCTACCCACCTACCCACTCACCCACCCATCTAGCCGTCGAGCCATCGCAACCACAACATTCAAATTCGTGGTCTGTGTTATGTACTGGGGTAAAAGTGGAATCATCTACTTATAAATGACCCGGCCATGGCTTTCGTCTCTCTAGGCGTCATTGTTTTTTTATAGACCAGGGGGCACCAAAGGAGAAGGGGTATACATACAAGGTTAATAAAGCTCAAGGGTTAAATCTCTAGGGTAAATCTCGAGGGTAAACTCCTAGGGTAAAGCTCTGGAACGAATGGATGGTGTGTGTTTGAATGAATGCTGGTGATAATCTTACAAGAGCTAAGGAAAGACCCGGTAGTTGAGACACAAATAACTTAGAGCGAATTAGGCAGAATGTAACGAAAGAGATCCAACATACATTCGTCAGAAGTATATCCTGCCTTTTGCTTTTTGGAGCCTCACTCGGGACATTGTAGATCATTCCACATGGGCGTGCATAAGGGGAGAAGTGCATGAATATGTGCCTGAGTATAAGGCGAATGAATGTGAGGGTAGGACAGGATTGCGGTTGGCTGAATGATGAGCTTCGAACGAAATTGAAAGGGGAGATCATACTTCCTTTTTTCATCTACTGCGTACACGTTGAATGAAGATGAGGTTGATTATGGGGGCAAGCCCCCAAACCCCCGTCCTCGCTGCGCTCGAGAATATCGGACGGAAAGTTTACCAAGATCGAGGAGATGAGGTCGAGCGCAACAAACTATGGGGGTTTGAGGATTCGCCCTATCCATAGTAGTATGTAATGGTATGTGATGGTATGTAATTGTATAGTGATATGTAATCGCGGTTGTGAATATAAATTGTTCGAATAAGCTTTTGCTTAGTAGAAACTAGGTTTGGTTCATGAAGGTTGTTTGTTCTTTCTACATACCTACGCACAGAACATTCATTCTGTGAACCTCCTCCCTTCCCCTATCCATGATCCCGTCTTGGTATATGTTTGATCGGGTCGGATGGTTTTGATGCTCCTTTCGGTCTGGGGAATCAAGATGGCTTCGATGAGATTGGGTCGTGGTATGATGACGGATGTTTCATGGATAATATGTAAAAGATGTGTGACTGGCCATGGGTGACAATGATGAAAAGAAGCAGAAGAAGTCTTTTGGAAGAAATAAGTGGAGAATCCTACCTAGGTGGATGCTCACTGCCCACCTGCTCACTGCCCAGGTAATTTCTTCGAGTGGATTCATTACACTTTCCAGCTGGTCATGTGTAATAAACGGATTTACAAGTTACCACCACTTGGGCCAGTATAGGACGCTGGCCACCCTTCAAAAAAGTTCAGCCTCACTAGTTGGCTCGTTTGTTCGTCTGTTCAATCTAATGATTACATTCAATCACATACATAGTGGGGATCCAATCACATATTCATCATATTCATCATATTCATCACGTACTAGCAACCAGCTGCTAGATACTAGCTACGACTCCGTGGATACCAGATACCAGATACCAGACACCGGACACCAGACACCAGACATCAGACACCAGACCACCAGCTACCAGCGACCAGCGACCAGCTTCTAGACATTACATTGATCAACAAAAGCTCCGTTCGTTTGACTTTTATAGCTCATTTAATCCTCAAGCCCTGCTATACTGCAATAGCCCTGTGGAAAAAGGTAAAGCCCGAAGCCGAAAGTGTAATGGATCCCCGATGATGATTCTATTGGTCATGACGCGAAAAATAAAGGACTAGATGGACTGGGTCTTCTCAATTAGTCCTCAATTTTATACCCAAGCTGTAACTTTTGGTCGGTGGGAACAAGGTATTCAAACTCAATTCGCTTCTGTTGCCCTATTCACGATAGCTGCGCCCTCTGGTTGCGGTGGAGCTGGGTGACTGGGTCCAACCATCAACTTACTTTACTGTCCTTTGCTATGTTGGGTTATAAAGTTGTCCGATGTACGAAAGCGACAAGTATCTGGAGAAAGAAGAAAGTACCTAGTATGCTTTGGTCAGTAATGAACGCATCGTGACAAGGGAATGAATAAATTAATGAATGTATAAATGGAATTAACGAGAGGATCTTAATGTCATTTTATTCTTATTCTGAAAGAAGAAATGCCAATAGAATGGATGATATTAAGAGGATAGCCCTCAACTCTCCTCCACCTCGAATAAATCACCAATGAGATGTAAAGATAGATTCTACCATGTTGAAAAGAATGGGCCAGCCAGCCAACCAGCCAAACAACCAGACAGCTAAGCTTTTGGTACCTAAAATCGAAAAAAGTCCCAAGAGGGCGATAATTGGCGCGAATGATTGGAGAAAGGGGGGAACAGAAAAAAGGAAAGGGCATTTCCGAGATCAAGAAAACGAGAAATGTCTCGATTCGGTACCTGGATGCTGATGAGTTCCTCCATGTTTGGTGTTTAGTGTTATCAAAGTACAGATGATATTTGGATCTCAGCTTTTTGAATCGCTTTACATCATACGGGTTGGCTTGTTTGCTTGTTTGCCTGTCTGCTTGCTTGATTAGTCGACGGCGACGACCTGACCCATCGTGCCATCATCGACTCATCACTTGCTAGACCACGAGGAGAGTAGTCTAATCGGGTTGAGTAACAAGGTCCATGATACCCATGAGATCCATAAGTTTCTCTGGGAGTAATAATTGACAGATCGTTTGACAGATCCAGACTAAGAAGTGAGACATCCAGGATGTGAAGAGGTGCTCATGCCTCATCCAATTATTCGGAAATGCCTTTCTTCCGTATTCGTTGCGCTACTTTTGACTCAAATGATGATATCCGCATTTGCCATTCACCGAGCATGGACGATGTTGATCGTTTTCCCAGAATCTGGTTGAACTTCGAAGTCTGGCTGAGCACGCCGGCGTCTCCAAGGTTGCATTGGAATATCCAGGGCGACCAGGGCGGCGACCAGGGCTAGAACTGGGTAACGCATCCAATGGAGTAGTTTCGGGGGCAGGTCACTGGAGTCACAGGAGTCAATGGAGTTCATTAAGATTGTCATTCTACCAGATAAAGTCACGATACGCGAAGAAAATGGCGAGTCGATCCATTCAATCCTTCATCCTATTGATCCCATGGGTTTGGTTCTGCTGCCTCAGATCTACTTCCTTTTCTCTCCTTCCTCCACCGTCAGCCTCGATGGGCATCACTTCATCCACACACCAATACCATGACCAATACCGTGCCCAATACATGACCCCATCCCATACGCAGATTGATTCATGATCTTCCTTCGTCCCCATGTTAACCAATCGACTGGGAATTCGGGATCGGAACTGACGTCGATGTAGTGGATATTGATATTGGTATTGATAATCAGGTATCGACATTGGCATTGTCATTGGCATTAAAATTAAATCCCGACAAAAAATTGAGGGAAACCTTCCCCCTTCCCCTTCCCTCCCCCTCCCCCTCCCCTCCTCCCCTTGCCCTTGAACGGATATCTCGTCCCCGATTCTATTTTAGGATTCATCAGGTTCTGCAGCCTCTTTTACCCTTTAGTAGCTTTCTGCAGCCTCCTGCAGCCTCCTGCAGCCTTCTCATGCTTCTCGTGCGTCTCTCGCCTCTGATTGGTTCAATACACATTTACCCCAGAAACATCAAATTTAATCTTCATTATGCAAATTTTCATTCTCATGCCTTTCTCCAGCAAATTCTAAAACATCTACGACACCACCACAGATCAAAGACGGTTCAATCCGTCCCATCTCTTCCCTTGTTGATTTGTCAATCAATTACAATCACTCACAAGCCCGCCAGGAACAGGAAGAGGAAAAACAAAAATCTACACATTTTGGCGCCCGTTCCGTTGAACTATACTGGTTGGCTGGCAACTGGCAATTGGCAACTGGCAACTGGTCACTGACTACTCGTACTGAATACTGAATACCGAATACTACCTATCGACTACTGCTTCCTGCACTTCACCCAAAAAGGCGTCGTTAAAAACAATCCGACAGGTTAATCCATTTGAATCTCCCCAGCTCATTCATCTTAAAACACGACGAATCTACGAGGGCAAGAGCTTCATACCCACAATTACCGGTGTCTCCGATAAGAATCGAAACACAAAATAAAATATCCATTTCATAATCTCCAGCACTCAATCTCAATCACGAGTAATCAAATATCTTGTCAATCAATCGATCAGAGGAGAAGCATACACCCAGCGGCAATCATGTTGTCCGAACAATTCATCTCATCCATTCGAGCTCAGCCAAGAACTGCGAATACTGCCATCGCAAAGGATATCGGGATTTACATTCATACATTACATCCATCCCCGAAAATCGAATCAAATTTCAAGAAAAGTTCGACCGCAGTTAATGCCCTCGCAGCAAATTCAACTCACATTTTCGCGGCACAAGCTGATAAGGCGGTTGTTCATATTTACTCAAGGGAACGCGGGAATCAAGAAGCTTTAATTTCTTTTCCAGAAAGGTTACACACTTTAACTTTGGTCGGCGATGATCTTTTAGTACTGGGTACAGCCGAGGGGCGGGTCATACTATGGGAGGTGAGTTATTTCGCCCGTTCTATTATCTGCAGCTTACGTCGTGTCGTGTTGTGCCGTTTGGTATTGCTACCACATGGTTACATTGGTGGCGACACGATGGCGAGTGCATGGAGTCATTTGTGTTAATTCTTTCTGGGTCTAGGTCTGCACGGGTAGACAAGTCTCAACATCAGCTGCACATCTACAACCCGTTTCATGTATGGCCTCAACTTCAACACACATCATTACGGGTTCCGAAGATTCAAATCTCCACGTTTGGTCAATTCCACAACTTTTATCATTACATACAAATACGAATGAACCGCATGAGCCCATTCGAACCTTGTCAAACCATCGAGCCGCCATAACTTCCGTCGTCATGGGTCATAGTTCCAGCACATCAAATATATGCATATCTGCGAGTAAGGACAATTCAATAATTGTTTGGAATTATCACACGGGTGATCTTCTAAGAACATTCCTACTCCCATCAACTCCATTATGCATGGCACTGGACCCATGCGATCGAGCTGTTTATACGGGTTTCGAAGATGGTTCATTACAAATGATTGAACTCATTCAACCAAATTCAGCAATCAATCCATTATATGATACCCGACTACAAAATACCCCAGTCCAAGTTAACTCGCCGGTTTGGTCCCCGCCATCAGAGAATCTTGGTGCTGTACATTGTTTAGGGCTGAGTTATGATGGAACAAGTTTGTTCTCGGGACATTCTTCTGGAAAGATTGCCCACTGGGATACTGGAAGACGTGCTTTCTTGGTAGAACTTTCGGATTTGAATGCTCCCGTGACAAACCTTGTTATGCAATCTCCTTTCCCAAAGACACCAAAGACAAAATCAATAAATGTAGTTAAGCCTAAATTGGCCGAGGGTAATTATGCATTCACAGCTCAACTGAATGGTACCAAAAAGTCAACGACGTTTGATCAAGCCATGGAGTATCAAGGATTTCCTAAGGGTATGCTAGAGAAAGCATTACTTGATTTTGCTCAACCTCAAATTACAGCTACATCTTCGTCTTCATCTCCGTCCTCCAGCGAGGAAGAAAAGTTGCGAAAGAAAACGCGGAATTATGGAAGGTTATTAATGAGCAACGTGCTCTTCAGAAGAAAACCTTTGAGAAGTATTCCGAATTAAAAACTGGTGGTGTTTGAACTTTGAATCTTGATTGTTTCAGAATTCATTACTTTTAGTGGTTTGAAGTCCGTGTTGTTGTTACAAGCTTTTAGTATCCACTGATCTCGAACTCACCACGTCAGCTTATTGGTACAATGAATTATTGATACAAGAAGAGAATCCACTATCTCATCAATTCATTCCATCTCTGGTAACAATCATTTCGCAAGCTCTTCCTTTGATCATTCTAGATCCGTGCAAGTCAATGGTTTGATCTTGACCATGAAGATATCCTCATCAGCCTCACCCAAGACCTTGGATCTCTTGGATCTTAGGGGATTTGGTGCATTGCACGTGTAAGACATGTTTACCACGCGAAGGTTGGAAACCGTTTCTGTATGGACTTTTACCAAATGCTCGTCCATCTCGAAAGTCTAAGCTTTTGCTTGTCTTTTTATTGGTCTTGAGCTTTCTGTTCAAAACTTCGAATCCTTTTTGCATCTTCAAAAGGGTCACTTCATATCCGTGGTAGCCTTATATGATGTGGGTATGGCATACAGTGCGGAAGAGCTTAATCACTTGGTTTGTATCTATAATAAGAACAATGCACTTTCGATGATTATCGAATTTATCCATAGTTTCAGTACCCGGAATTTTTAGCCAATGCAAACACTAGCGTAACAATATTGTTCTAAATCAATGAATTTGCTGTGGTGATACTTGTGAATAAACTTACTTTGTCTTTTTCGAATATTTTTTTTTTTTTTTTTTTTTTTTTTTGGTAGGCAGATGCTCTGGGTTTAGCATCCAAGGGAAATAATGAGGTTTCATTTTGGGATTGGGATGTGTGTGTTCGCTACCCTGGTGGTAGCGATTTGTGCATCGCCGGTTTCGTCAGAGGGAACGATGATGTTGGTTAGGAGTGAGGGTGGAAAGGGGAATGGGAAGGAGGAGGGGATGAATTTTTATGGATCGAGTGGGAGGAGTGTTGGAGGGAGAGCTGTGGATGGGGTGGATGGTGGGAGGAAGGAGACAGAGGTAGAGACAGCGAAAAGAAGGAGGGGAAAGAGAAAGTTAAAAGAAGGAAAGAAAACTGCATGTTGTGCATGAAAAGAGATCCTCCCCGCCTCCCAAATGGAAAAGATCCGCACGTCTCCATCCTCAGGCCGTTCTCCCCGTCCGCATAGGTCTCACGCAACAAAACCTCCACCGCGCCGAGGAATTCCTAAATGAAGTCTCGCATCCCGAATCGCCGCTCTACGGTCAACATTGGAGCGCATCCAAAATCGCAGATATGTTTGCTCCGTCTCAGGAAACAGTGGATGTGGTGCGGGCTTGGCTACATGAAGCGGGGGATTGCACCGGAGAGGGTGAAGGTTAGTAAGGGGGGATCGTGGATTAGCTTTAATGCGACGACGGAGGAGGCGGAGGGATTGTTGAGGACGAGGTATTTTGTTTGGGAACATGAGGAGGGGGGGAGGCATGTCGCGTGTGGGGAGTATAGTGTACCGAGTGGGGTGAGCGCGCATGTGGATTTTGTGACACCGGGGGTGGCGTTTGATGGGAGGTTGGGGGTGGAGGGGGAAGAAAGCAAGTGAGGCAGGAGAGAAATTTACCGGAGCCATTGAAAGCGTTAAATAGGAGGGCGGAGGAGGTGAGGAGGAGGAAGAGGGATGGGATGGGTACTGGGATCGGAATGGGTGTTGGGGATACAAAACCTGTTGGGAAAATGGGAAGTCCCGAAGATGCGTCGAATCCTAAACAAGGAGCCGATGTCAAGAATGCTCTCATGACGCTCGCGAATTGCGATACTATGATTACAACCGCCTGTCTCCAGGCCCTCTACAATTTCCCCCCGGGCTCAAAATCCGCGACGAATAATACGCTGGGTGTAGTCGAATATACACCGCAGGCATTTCTCCAAACAGATTTAAATATGTGGTTTGACCAATTCTCGCCCAATCAAGCGAATAAAGTACCGATTGTCGATTTGATCGATGGAGCCGTCGTGCAGCAAACCAACCAATCTTTCGCCTTCAACGGTGAAAGTGCACTCGATCTCGAATTTGCCATGGCGCTCATAAATCCGCAACAAGTGACCGTCTTCCAAGTCGGCGATCTAGTCGAGGGAGGAAGTTTTAACAATTTCCTCGAAGCGATCGATGCCTCCTACTGCACAGCCGAAGGCGGCGACTCCAAAGATCCCAACGTCGATGGCCAATACCCGGATACCAAACCCGGGGGGTTCCCCGGCGAACTCCAATGCGGCCGCTATCAAAGCACCAAAGTGATTTCGACGTCGTATTCCGCCAACGAAGCGGATCTCGGCGCGAAATACGAAATGCGTCAGTGCAACGAGTACATGAAACTCGGGCTCCAGGGCGTCTCGGTGCTGTACTCCTCGGGCGATTTCGGCGTCGCGGGAAATGGGGGCCAGTGTATTGATTCGGCGACGGGCGCGTACAATAACGGGTCGTCCGGGCTGTTCAACCCCAGTTTTCCAGGCACGTGTCCGTATGTGACGAGTGTGGGCGCGACGCAGATTCTCAACGGCAGCACGGTGCATAGTCCCGAGAGCGCGGCGTCCAAGGTCATTTTCAGCGGTGGGGGGTTCTCGAATGTTTTCCCGCTGCCGGAGTATCAGAAAGAGGTCATGGCGGCTTATTATGCGCAGTCGGCGCCGGGGTATGGGGCGGAGCGATACAATAATTCGAGAATGGTGCGCGGGTATCCGGATGTGAGTGCCAACGGGGTGAACTATGTGACGGCGGTGAATGGACGCTTTTCGCTCGCGTTTGGCACGAGCGCGAGTTGTCCGGCGTTTGCGGGGCGCTGCTGAATCTGGTGAATGAGGAGAGGATTGCGGGGGGAAGAGCACGGTGGGGTTTGTGAATCCGGTGTTGTATGGCAATCGGGCGGCGATGAATGATATTACGAGTGGGAAGAATCCGGGGTGTGGCACGGATGGATTTGAGGCGGTGGAGGGGTGGGATCCGGTGACGGGGTTGGGGACGCCGGATTATGGGAAGTTGCTGAAGGTTTTTATGGGGTTGCCTAGTGGGGGGGAGGGGGGAGGAGGGGAGGGAGGGGGGTATGGGATGAGGTGAGTTGAGGCGAGGTGTTTAGAATTAGGTTACGGATGGGTATGTTGGATGTTTTAATTTACCTATCTAATCTATCTATCTACCTATTTACCTTTCTGTTTTACCTGTCTATCCACCATCCATCCAAATCCAACCCCCTCCTACTAGCTGCGGGGCAGAATTATATCACTATCACTACTACATACAAAATTGCTATATTATGAAAACGCGTGATGGGGGAAAAGTACTATAGATTGTGGTTTGGTTTGGTTAGGGGGTTGGAGTTTGGAGTTTGGAGTTTTTTTATATGATATATCATATCTGTATGTATGTGTATGTATTATATATGAGTACATACTCTAAATAGATATGAGAAGTATGATTTGATTTATTGATTACTTTTTTGTGAGAGGGCGTGGGGTTTGAGTGTTTTGCTTTGGTTTTGCTTTGTGTGAATGTTTTGGTATTAGTGTTGTGTTTTATTGTGTTGAATTGAGTTGAATTGGAATTGGATTGGATTGGATTGGATTGGATTGGATTGGATTGAGCTTATTATAATTTGAAGAAGGGAAGATTAAGATTATAAATAGCGATTTTGATTTTGATTTGATAGAAATCAAGAAAGAATAGAGAGAAAGAAAGAAAAGAGAATGGTATATTAAGGCGTAGAAATGATGTGATTGTTAGGTAGGTATATATAAGTGTGTTTATGCGAGAAGCGAGGAAATGTATGATTGAGTAAATATATTATAGGAAAGAAGAAGAGGAGATTAGAGGTGAGGGCGAAAGGCGAAAGATGTACAGAGTAGAAAAGGGAGAATAGGGTAAGAACTATTCGAATAAATAAATAAAAAAAAAATAAAAAAAAAATAATAAAAAAAAAAGAAAAAAAATAAAAAAAAAAAAAAAAACAAAAAAAAAAAAAAAAAAAAAAAAAAAAAAAACAAACAAACAAAAAAAAAAATAAAAAAAAAAAATAAAAAAAAAAAAAAAAAAATAAAATAATACAACTAAATACAAATATAAAACAAACAAGATATGATGAGATGAAAATAGATGTAAATAAACTCGAATGTGAATATGAATATAAACACGAATATCAAATCGTTCAATTTTATACAAGTGAAGATCTTATACAATTACCTGTATATTTAAATAATAATAATCTTGTCACGGCGCCAACTACATGATCTGTAGTTGCCTTTGTGCCTCAGGCACAGCATACTAGCGCGCCCTACTTCCTATACGTAGGGCTTCACTCTTCTATAGCTCTTCTACCCTTATGGTACATATAAGTCTTTATCCGTACCTTAACAGTTTATATTATCTTCAAATAAACTATCATAGCTTTATTTCTTATTTTATTTCTAAAGCCTTACCGATATCTTATCCCGATTATGCCGATTGCATTCACCGTTGATTTATTATACATCCTGCCACTAATATTTTGAATTTCAAAAAGTATCGAAGATAAGTGAACAAGTATCTGTATTAGAAGTATCTATATTTAGCTTACCTTCGCAATTCCTTTTCTTGAATCATGTTCTCAACTCTACCAAAGCCGATATCTTTCCCTTTATAGATCTATTTAATAATTCAAACGCTATATATTTTGTTATTACTCAAGCTGTATTTGAATCGATCGAATCGATTGTAGGCTTATTACAAGCCCAAACTACTATTGCTTAGGTCTAAGCTATCAATATTAATTAAAGATTGTTGAATTGAAAGATACAATTGAGATATTGAAGATTATTATTCATAATAATTCGTAAGCTTCACCTTGTTGTAAATATCTTGCTATCCTCGAAAGTTTAGTAATAATAAGTAAGATATTATAAAACGCCAAGATCAGTATATAACTTTTTGTAATGCAGTTAATTGTTGTTTGATTATAAATTATAAAAATGAATCAGAGTTTCAGAAAATCATATTTCTTATTAGTCTATTTTCTGGCTTTGTTTATACAAACAATCAGATATACTTTGATATAATTACAGATAATGTGTATAATTCCGATCTTTGGCCCTCTGAATAGTATATTGTAATAGATATTTAATATAAATTAAACAAGTAATATCAGATTCTAGATCTTTTATATAAAGCTTCTATGGATTATAATAAATGTAAAATGAAGAAAATTCCATTTGATCACTTTATTACCGAATTCAAGCAGCTTGCTATCAAATATAAGAAGACTGCCAAATAACAAGTTATTGATCTTAAACTCAAAGTTTCATAAAAATTAATCGATATTTTAGTTAACCACCCTAATAAACCTTTTACCATTGATATTAATACATAAATAGTTTGATAGCAAGATATTTACAATAACTTAGAGAAGAAAATTCATCTTAACAATCAATACAAAAATCAAAACACTAATTTCAGCAATCAGAAAAAACCTAATGAAAAGAAGCCTGTTATTGCTGTTGTAATACCTATGCCTAATCCCTCTGAAAATCTTATACAACTGGATACTGCTTACCAAAGCCAGCAACCCTTATTATATTATAATAGAGAACAATATCTAGATCTTAGCCTCTATTTTTATTGCAAAAAGCCTAGTTATATTAAATTTAACTACAAAGAAAAGCGATACAATGATACAAAATATAATATCAACTTAGAAACTATACAATACCTTGATCATCCCCCTACTACAAATCAACACATTCCAAATATTTACTATTTTCCTGTTATCGATTATTATCACAATTCCAAACTCTATTGTAACGCTTATAGCCTTACTTATCAGAATACATTCCTGTCTGCTAATTGTTTCCCGACTACTACAGCATTATTTCGATATACCTCTCCAATCCCTATTAGCAGCAGAGATCTGGGCAGATTCGTTAAAGGTTTTGTATATTCGAATGATAGTGAAAATTCAATTCTTTAATTAAGTATGTTAAAAGACTAATCTTGATTTATAGTTGTAAATCGAGGTTCATTGTGAAAAGTTTGTCTTTATAAATTAAAAGATCGATTATATCTAGGGATCCTTTATATCTTAGAATAATAAATAGTAAATCTTTTAAAATCTCAACAGAAATTTTCCTTATATTTAATATGATTATCCTATTTATTGATTTAGTAGATAATGGAGCTACGGGATATAGATTTATAAATAGAACCCTTATATCCAAGCTTGGTATCTCTATATATCCTCTCCCTACTATCCGCAATCTGTTACTTACAGACAGAAGGACTTCTAATATCCTATCTCAGTATATACTATTAGATTTATAGATTAATAATTATAAAGAAATTGGTTTATTCTATATTATCAATCTTTTTAATGCGAACCCTATAATCCTTAGTTTTCCATAGTTTCAATGCTATAACCCTATTATTAATTGAACAATAATGACTCTTAAGTTCATATTCATATATTACTCCAGATATTGCTATTTAGTTAACTCTGTTGTAACTATCATTCCTGATCGTAACGATATACCGACCTCAGCAGATATAGCGCTCAATCCAATATTATATATACCTGTTAGGAAATCTATTTTGAAATCTATTTCAAAGAAATCTATCTCAATCTTATATTGTGCTTTTGCTGAAGAAGTTATCAATGAAAATCTCCAGACTTTCTCCTTCTTATTCCAAAACCAATCAATACTTTTGGAATACAATCCTTCGACTCTAATTATAAAGAAAAATACTAATAGAAACCTTTATAATATAAATCCTGCTGATCTAATACCACCCAACTCAAACTACTACTATATTTATCGAATCAACAGAAAAACAGAAACCCATGCCAAGATAATACCAAACCGGTCGATCCTGAAACCGGCCCCAGTACAGATCATTGCAAACTCTAGGATATACAAAAAACCGCTATAAAACTAAAACATTTTATCTTTATTAAACCCTCTATTACTATAGAAGCCCTCTGAGGAATCAACTGATATTTTACAAAATATCCGATAGAAAATGAACAATATAAAGTTCCTCACAGCTAATAGCTTTATTTAATTCTATAAAGATCAGAAAGCTTATATCACAAAAGTAATTTGGGATAAATTAGATAGAGCTTGCAAATTATATTGTATAATAATAAACAATCCTATTCAACTATATCGCAATATTATAGAAAGCAATATCAAAAAGTTTATAGAAAAGACCGACCAACCTATACCATCTACAATAAAGATTTAGAGCAAGCTATTACCCTAGCTTCACAATCTATTCGCTGAATTCTTATTCTTTCTTACCAACAAGCTTCTGCTATAATACTTTTGGAATTACAAGATCGAGATTATGCCAAGCAAAGAGCCTCCGTATAACAAAGATTGTTCAATATCCCCAGCCGAGCTTCAAGTTATTTGTAAATAGCTTGATGATAACCTAAATAAAGGATTTATTCACAAATCCTATTCCTGATTGATTGCTTTATTCCTTTTAACTGCAAAGCCTAAAGAAAGCATTCGAATTTACTAGGATTATTGTAAACTGAACAATATTATTATTAAGAATTGTTATTCACTATTACTGATTAAAGAAATCCTTAATACTTTATATTATACTAAAGTTTATATCAAATTGGATATCATCGTTGCGTTCAATAAACTACGAATCACAAAAAATCACAAATGAAAAACTACTTTTACAATTTGTTTTAGCTTATTCGAATCTCTAATAATACCTTTCGGCTTTTGCAATACTTCTGCCTTGTTTTAGAATTATATCAATTATATTCTTTTTGATCTTCTGGATAAAAATTGTATAATATATCTAAACA